AACCACATATGAACTTACATTTTAATTGGTCGGCTTGGCCACAAAAATCTCCTGAGTTGACCAAGCATAGAAATGAATACAATATGGGAACCAATAAAAAGGAGTGTCAGAGAAAAGCGATAACAACAACAACAACAACAACAAAAAGTTGCAATATGAGCTCTGGTAAAAACATGTCATGATAACAGCAAAAAAATTAAATATGAGCAATGGTAAAAATGGTTGCTGAAGACATTAGATTTATAATACCCAGAAATTCATACACAGATGTCCTCAAGGACACAAGACACAGTGGATAAAGACCCAAACAGTGTGTGCTCAATACCCGGTTAAGGCAGTGGAGAACTTTCAGAGGGGAATTAACAGGAGATAATTGATAAATGACAGCCAATCAAAACTTATATATGACGTGGAACCCAGAAAATTTAAAAAAAGCGTTACTTTTTGACATAAAGAACAACCTGAGGAAGGCCGAAGCGTACAACGGCTGAAACATTGTAATAAATATGGCGACAAAGATGGGGACAATAGTCCAAATAATGTAAATAGTGTACATAATACCTCATCTCATAAATATATACAGATACTGAAGGGCCGAAAAGTTGTAATAAATATGGGAACAAAGATTCAATACTCTGAATAATGTAAATAGTGTACATAATACCTCATCTCATAAATATAGACAGACTAGCAGTAGATCCCGGCGTTGTCCGGAGATGTAACAGTAAGAGATAGATCAAGTATCGACCATCATAAAGACTGAAAAATAAAATTGACAAAGATTATTGTTTAAGGTTGACGGACGCATGTAAATTTTTTTTTTTTTATGAAGGACAATTCAAACCGAAAACTCAATAAAAAACATTGTTTTCAATCGTTATAACAAGTCTACCAATTGAATAGAATTTTATTATAAACAATTGTCTTGTAAATAAAATTTTAAAGCATTCTGAATGTAAAAATAAAGAAAAAAGTGTGCAAGACAATAAGAAACATTACCTTCCCCAAAAAAGGTGAAGTTTTGTTAAAATCGGTTGAAAAATGTAGGAAATCCGATCCCATATATAAACACACACACACACACACACACACACACACACACACACACACACACACACACACACACACGCAACCTGTGTTTTATAATAAGTATAACTCAATATGAGTTGTTCTTTCATTCTCGCGACAGCGATGCCTCTTAATCGTGTTTTCAAATTGATTTCGTGCAAAAACAATTGTGTTTTTCCAATTTTTGCGCTGTCAGAACCACCGCAAGGCAATTTTACGTAATCCTGTAAAGTTTTGATGAAATCGGTTAAAAAACAAAAATGATCAAAAACGAACAACACAGACAACACACACAACCTGGGTTTTTAATAAGTATGATACTGAAATATTAGTTATGTAATAACAAATGGCGACAAAGATGAGGACAATATTTTCTAAATAATGTCTAATTTTTAGTAATTCTGTTTATATTGTAAATTATTAGTGCACGAAGGACTCCACATACACTAATATAGGTATTGAATTAGAGTTGCTTCTATAGCCGATTCCTCTTCAGGATTATTTTTTAATTCAGTGCTTTTCTTCTCCTTGACTGTCGCCTCAAGAAAAGAGAGCTTCGTCAGCTACACTTTATAACCCATAGCTGGGGGAAATGAATTCACACTATGAATCCAGTACCTTCGGTTTATATTACCACGGCCGGAGAAGATTTTAGTTTATATTACCACGGTCTGAGAAGAAGTGCTTTTTCTATTCTATTTTGTGAATTCACCTCAAGGAAAGAGAGCCTCGTCAGCTATGCTTTATAACCCAGTGAGCGAAATAAAATGTTCAGTTCGACATTCCAACCACCTGAAGAATTATTGAGCGTACAACGGTTTAAAACGTTTTAATAAATATGACGACAAAGATGAGAACACCCAGAATAAAATAAATAATAAATAAACCATTTATTTTTTTATTAATAGACTGGGAATAAGCACAGAGCACAGTGAGTTTGTTCAGAACAGGGAAAGACGAAACAAAGTTTTAAAATGAATAAAAAATCTATTTTTGCTTGATGGATTTATAAAGAACTTGACGCCATCAGAAAATTTATTTTTTTATGATCAGGAATTTCCATCAGTCCGTAAACTCTTATTTCACACCGGATTAAGTTAACTTCTACTGTGACGTCACGCTGGTCCTGCTCCTGTGTTATCCTGTGACGATCTAACCCTTGGCTGGCCGGATGGAAATCTGCTTTAGATTCGATATCAGCTTTGTCGTTCCCAGCTCTTTTCCAACGTCTAGTTACCGAAGTAACTGCTTTGATTTCTAGTCTAACCTACCCACGTTGTGATTTGATCTTAGGTAGACGAAATCAATCAGTCGCCGGGCAAATAATGCAAGCTGAGTTGGGGCAAGGGTAATATTTTCAAAGTATATGTAAAAGAAAATAATGTAACAACCAAAAAGGTTCAAATGTGTTAAAAAAAAATAACAAATATTTTTTATATCTGTTTGCTGAATACAGGACTGCGTCTTTCTCCCACCCCGCTAATATGGATTCACGTGACACTTTGCGTTTGTTAGGCGAGCCTTAATATCTTAAGTTGTTTTTAAATAAACTGGTTTTTGGTATCTTCAGGCGATATTCGTAAAACTTGTTTTGGTGGTGTGAGTCTAAGTCGTTCTTCAAAAAAAAATTGTTTTTGTTAGAAGTTGAAGTCGGAATGCGTGGAAATCTTTCAGTCAGCTTCCTGCTAGGCTGGTCTCAAGCTCACAGCTCAACTTTCTTATCAACTCCTGTGACTCAACTGTCGCCAACTGTTTTCCACTCGTTGAAAACTTTTTTTCATGACACGTTCCGACCAAAAACAGATGGTTGGCTTACAAAAACCAAATGATAATTCGAAAGATAGTTAATTTTTTTTTTCTTTTTGTTTTCTTTCCCCTTTTTATTATTTTTTTCTTCTTCAATTCTCACCTAATTCTTTTCTCTTTTCTCATCCTTCCCACAGTTTTCGATTATCTTCTAGCATTCTGCTTCCTAATCCTCATCTTGACCAAATTGAAATTTTCATTATCTTTGGCATCAGATTGTTATCATTTTAATTGTATTCTGTTTTTCCTTTGTCTCTTCCATGGCATAAATTAATTCTGACGGGATCTTACGAATTTTCAAAAAAAATATTCGCTCAAATGAAAATAAAACTTTTTTTTTTTCTTTCTTTTTGCAAATGAAAATAAAATTTTTATTTTTTCTTTTGTTAAAAAAATGTCATCTAGAATTTAATTTTTTTTATAGACTTTTTTAAGAAATAGTTGGACAGATATTAATTTCCATGCTTAATTCGTTAGCCAATTACCATAGTTATTAAATAGTGTCACGCTACAGAAAGCAAATTAAAAGAGACTAGGAAAATATATTTTTTTTATAATATATGTTTCTTCCGGAAGTAGACGATAATGATTCTTCACAGATTCATCTCATGATAATCTGTAAATAATCTTGATAATTTAATTAAAGTAAAATTTTTGTTTGCTTTTTTTGGTTTAAGAATTCAGTTAAAATTTTCAAATTGCCATTATCTACTTCAAAAGACATATCTAAATTTTATTTATAAATTAGTGGATTGAGAGAAAAGATAGATTCATGACTTTCCTAATCGCATTTGTGCAAAAATGAACGTCAACAGACGGGCCAAGACTTTTCATCACGACAAAAAAATTTTCGATTTAGTATTTTTTTCAAAATTTTATATCCTTAGTTTACGTAGATCATATTTATCTTGGATTTTCATATAGAAAATATAATGAACTATTAGATAAGGTAAATGAAGATAGCAAGATGAAAGGCCTAAATTAAGAAGACATCTTATTTGGTTGTCAGCAAAAAAGACAGCCCATTGGTAAAGTTTTGTGTTAGTAGCCGTGGTTTACTGCATCAGGCAATAACAGGAGCAAAAGTTGGTTGTTTTTAGAATGACAGCAGGAAATTAAATTGATTTTTTCCAATTGGGCTTCGAAATTTAAGGAATTAACGTGTTATAAATAATAATCAGAAGACATAAAAGAGATTTGAACCTAAATTTCAACCAGGAGAATTTAGTAAAAAGAATTGATGAAAGAGAATACCATGTTTATAAAAATGTCTGCAACAAACATTTTTGAGAGAAAAGGGTAAAACAAAATGGAAAAAAGGTTAAAATCAGACAGGGTACATGGATGAAGAAAAGAAATCATGCTAAAAATTTGATAAAAATAAGAATCATTTTCTCAAGAATGACCTTTGGAAAAAATTCCCAGAGAGTTTCTATGAATAGATTCGAAACAAGGTTTGGGAGATTTAAAAAAATATTGAAGCTAAAGAAGACAGGATTTTCGAGACATTATTAAGAACATAAGTGGACACCAAGAAGAAGAAGAGGAGGAGGGGAGGAGATTCCTCAAGAAGAAGAAGAAGAAGAAGAAGATTTCAAGATATTTATTAACAAAAGTCTCAGATATTTTCGAACTTTTTTGTAACAATTGTTCGGCAAGAAGAAGAAGAAGAAAGGAGGACTGAAGGGAAAAGAGGAAGAAGAAAAAAGAAGGAGAAGATATAAGAAGAAGAAATCAAGATATTTATTAACCTCTTATAAAGAATGATCAATTAAAGGGACACAGAAAGAAGAAGAAGAAGAAGATAATGGGGAAGAAGAAGAGGAAGAAGAAAAAGAGAGAAAGAAGATTTAAGAAGAAGAAGAAGAAGAAGAAGAAGATTTTTAAAGAAGAAGAAGAAGAAGAAGATTTGAATATTTTTATTTTCAGAAGGAATCATGGACGCCTTAAATGAATCAAAGCAAGAAGAAAAGAAGATATGGTCAGGGAAAGAAGAAGAAGAAGAAGAAGAAGAAGAAGAAGGTCCTCAAGATAGAATTAACCTCTGACCGCAAGATGATGGAAGAAGAAAGATTTTGTTCAAGAAGAAGAAGAAGGGAAGAGTGAGGAAGAATAAAGAAGAAACTTTAAAAAAGAAGAAGAAGAAGAAGAAGAAGAAGAAGATGAAGAAAAAGAAGATTTAAAAAGAAGAAAGAAAATGGAGGAAAAAAAAAGGGAAAGGGAGAGAAGAAGAAGAAATGGAGGAGTTGGGAAGAAGAAGAAGAAGAAGAAGAAGAAGAAGAAAGAAGAAGAAGAAGAAGAAGAAGGAAAGAAAGATATTTTATTAAGAAAAGAAAGTGAGAAATGAAAAGAAGAACGAAAGGGAAAGAAAAGAGAAAAAAGGAGGAGGAGGGAAAAGGAAAAGGGAAGAACAAGAAGAAAAAAAAAGAAAAGAAGAAGAGAAAGAAGAAGAAGAAGAAGAAGAGGATTTTTAGATAAATTAAATACTTAGAAAAAGAAAAATTTGAGAATTTTTCAAAGAAGAAGAAGGAGGAGAAGGAAATAATTGTGGTGAATTCTAAAGAAAGAAAGAAGAAGAAGAGAAAAGAAGATGAAGAAGAAGAAGAAGAAAAGGAGAAGAAGAAATTTAAAGAAAGAGAAGAAGGAAAGAAAATAACGTAAATATTAAATTTAGGAAGAAGAAGAAAAAGAAGAAGGAGGAGGAGGAGGATTTTAAAAAGAAATAGAGGAAGAGAAAGAAGAAGAAGAAGAAGAAGAAGAAGAGGATCTCAAGATATTCAATTAACTCTGTAAGTTGACATCAATGCCTACTTTACAGGATATCAGAACTTTGAAGAAGAAGAAGAAGAAGAAGAAGAAGAAGAAGAAGAAGTTTCAAAGGGGATGGGAGGATAGGAAGAAGAAGAAGATGAGATATTTATTAACCTCTTATTTGATCGGTGGTCTATGAGAAGATTTATCGTCGTCTAAAATTTCCGAAATTTATGCTATGTCTATTTAAAATACGATCAAACGAGCCATGTTGAAACTTCCACTAAAAAACGATGTTACAGTTTCATGTCACTTTCTCGCTTGTGGAACTTCCTTTCAGTTCCATGTTTTTCAAAGAACATTAATCTGCAAAGATTTAAATTAATTATCAGTGGTTATCTACTGTCTTGATTAATCTTCATTTGTTCTCGATCCTTAGTAATGATTCTGTTTTCTGTTGCTATTTCTTTTTTATAACACCATTAACCCCTTTGGTAAAAAGAATAGTATATTTCTTCTGTTTGATATGGGGAAATTGATTTAAACATTTTTAAAAAACACGTCATTTTACGTACACACTGTCGAATATTTGTCCCCTTCCTATTCCATTGCTAAGAAGAAAATTCTATTTAAACAGTATATTTCTGAGAACCCGCAACGGTGCTACAGCAATCACTATAATTTTAACATCTTCAAGTCTGGTATCAAGCATTATCTATCCTTCATATCAATATAATCTGCATTTACTTCTTCCCTTCATGTCCATCAAACATTCTCATTCAGTAAACTTCTGGAGTGATTATTGTACCATTTATTGGGGGAACATTTAGTAGAAAATATAACAAGATAACATATTAAAGTGTCTCGGCTGTTAAACCTGGAAATTCGAGACGAAACTTTATTTTTTAGATTATCCAAAGTCATGTACTTCAAGCCTTTCTGATATGTAGCGGTTTTTAAGCAAGAAACTTGTCTTATTTTCTGTTACTGTTTCATTTCATTCGCTTATCTCAGTCTGAAATATATATTTATTGTTTTAATTAAAACAATTGTGGCACAAGGCCAAAGGGGAAATGGAGAAGCCTGGTCTACAATTTCTATCCTAGATAATCTGATTCACGGTCCATTGATTCATTAACAATTTAATTTGCTCAATCTCCACAAAAACTCATCTCTCACCATTCAATACTACATAGACCACAATACCACAAATTCATAGGCAAACTGTTATGGGGTCCACCCCGTTTTTCATATAAGTGGACTCTACCAGTGTACCTGGACTGCTGCCGTTAAATACCCACAGTCAGCCAGAGGATAGACGGATAGAGCGAGAATATACGAACGGAGGTAGAGTGAGGTAACCTATTGTAGAAGTCAGTTACAAGCACGTAGACTCTAAGGAAGTCCCACTTCGAGACTGTATATATATATCTGTATTTGCTACTAACCGCGTTCCTGGACTTACTAACAGTATTACTCTTTGTATGATTGTGTAAATACATTTTATTTCTTATATTTAATTATTGCGTTTGTCATTCCTTGGAGACCGAATTCATCTCGGAATCCACAACACATTCGTGTTAAAAAAAAAAAAACACACAAACAAAAAATAACACATGACATAAAATTTCATTATGCACGAAGAGTTCTAATGTCACATATTTTCATTTTATATATATATATATATATATATATATATATATATATATATATATGCTTTATATGTGTATATGTAAATTTGTCTGTATACATGTATGTATTTTGTATTTGTATTGATATATATATTTATATATATATATATATAATATGAAACACTGTATATGTATTTATGTGCGAGTAGATATAGATATGTTGTGTATGTTTGTATCTACGTATGTATTTTTGGGCATATAAATAGTAAGTCCTTACTAGATTAAATATTAGTTAAATTGTATATATTTATGTTAAATTTGTAACCTCTAGGTGATATTACTTAGTTGTCAAATTTACTTGATTACACATCGGTCCTCTTATAAATATATTGAAGGAAAAAGAAAAGAACATCTTTATAGTCTTAAGATGTGCTATATTTATATTAGGATAAATCCTCAATATTAGAGATAGAGCGTGTAAATATAAAAGTGAACATAGGAGTCAACACTTAATTTTCATTGTTAGATGATCGCCAGGCTGACGATTTCATCAGCATGAAAGAGAGACTGTCGCCTTTTCCAATCCAATACACTTTATTTCTAATAAATAGTGTTGAATGGCAAAAAACTTGAAAGAGTTCCAGATTTTTCTCCACTAAAAGAAACCAGTTTAAATTCTTCTATTGCTACCAATGAAAACGAGTTCCAGTGACACCTTTTTGCCCAAATGATTCTAACACAACATATGCATATGTCTTCTGTGTTTATATTCGGGAAAATCTTCCAATTGCAAGAGAATTGTTTATTGAGAAACCAAATGATTCTTTCATGTGCATTCGACTTTCTATATTGTACACTGTCAGCTATCTCTTTCTCTTTTGTCGCACTCCTTCTTCTCATGTAATATATTAAACAACATTTCTGATAATAAAGTAATGGCTCTTTCTGTCGATCCATATGCGAATATTTTTGTGATTTAAATGCTCATCACGTCAAGTGACTTAAGCATTCTAATGTTACTAATGTTGTTGGTATTCAGGCTTTCATATTTTTCTATTGAATAAACTCTGAGTCAAATAGTGGAAAAGTATTCAAATGAATGGAATAAATATGTTTAACATTCTTCTTTACTTGATTACAGCCAGAAACTCTCTTTTTGTAGAGTATCACATCAGATATTTTTATATATCTATATCATATATAATGTCATATTAATATCTTATATATATATTATAAAGGAAAATGAACATTCATAAGACTTTTCCTGTGACCATTATTTACTGATTGGGATTAATTTCGCACCTTGGATTGAAATTCTTAACTTTCCTATTGAGAAATATACCATTGTTGTTTCTTCTTGCCGTGAAACCACAATCTTCTCTGTGATTTACAGCATCCTGTTCAGCCGCTATAGCCCATAGGAATCATTTTTTTCCGTGTGTACCAGTGTCATAATTCAGATCACAACAGACGCCCATTTTTGACTCCTTGAAATGTCAACGTCCCTTCAAAGGGGTTAAGACTTTGATGATAGAATGAGGCACCGTAGAAACTCAAGAAGCTTGATTCACGTCGCTACTAGTAGCACTGTTATAGTGCGTTAAATACGATTAAGTCTTCCATCCCTCCTTCCTTCACTCAGTTTGAGGTGTTAAAATCTTCTGCTGATAAGCCGGAAAGTTTTCCTCTTACATTTCTTTATTCTACTCTTGACTTATTTGGAGTATGTTTGCCTGACTTTCCATTTAGAAATGAGTCTCTATTGTGTGATATACATCTAACCCCGTTCATGGTTTCTGCTATCATTTCTAAACTGGATTCTGAGAAAGCATTTAATCCTGATGATATCTTTATAATAGTCCTTAAGACATGTGCTCCTGAACTGTCTACTGTTCTCTCTAAACTCTAAAATAAATGTCTTGCCGCTTGTTGCCTTCTTGCTTGTTGGAAATCCTCTTCTGTATTTCCAGTCTTTAAAAACTCGGCCGATGCTTCTGATCCATGTAATTATCGATCTATTAAGCTTCTACCTTTATTTGGCAAAATATTAGAGGCTCCATTGAACTTTGAATTGGTTAAGCATTACAGGGTCATCGTTCAGATAAGCAGTATGGCTTTCCCTTTTCTAAGTAAACTGCTGATGTGTTAGCGATTATTACTGAATCTATGAAACGTTAGATCAGAATGCTTAAGCTCGGGTTGTTTTTCTTTTGAGATCTTGAAGACATTTGACAGGGATTGGCATGGGGGTTTCCTACACAAGTTGAAAGATTATAGTATTTTTGGACGGGATTTTGAACTGATTCGGATTTTCTTATAAAATCGCGATATGATACTTTTCGAGAGCTTTTTGCATAAATCCAGATGATCCTCAGGGCTACATCCGTGGACCTACTCTCTAGTTTTCATAAATGACTTTTCTGGTGTCACCGGCTCTTACCTCGGGATCTATGCTGATAACACAAATATTTACTCCTGCTTTAATACTAAAGCTGATCGACTCTATAAAGTGAAATTGGTCGCTGAAATGACCAACAATCTGTTGTTAAATGGTGCAAGGTGTGGCTTGTTTATTTCAACTCCTCAAAAACGAAAATGCTCTCTTGGCTGATGCTAACATCCAGGGGAATTCACTTTCTTGGAGAAACGTTTTCAGTTGAACTGAAGGGGAAATATTATATTGAATCAATTGCTAAGTGTGCAGCGAAGAATGTTGCTTCACTATGACGTGCTAGACATTGTTTGTTGTCAAACGGGCCAAGGAGGGGCTTGTTAAACTTAACGCCTCCGAAACGAAACTGTTGTCTTGACTCGTCTGATAGAACGCACTTTTTGTCTTCGATCAGCATGGCTGGTGCAATTCTGCAGGAGTGTGACTCATTGCGCTTTTAATTTATAAAACTTAATGTCCTTAAATATATAAATTTGCTGTCATTAAGAATTTAAACTAAATAGCTAAATTAAACTCCTCATCTAAACAATATTTTAAAAGTAGTTATGTAATATGAAAGAAAAACCTCCAGAATTCTATTGCTGACTATCAAATTATATATATATAAACTTAGACAATAATAATTTCGATATAAGATTGATAGTAATGCCATTAACATATTTCGAAGAAATCAAATGCCTCACAATAAGAAATGGATAAAATATCATTAGACAATAATACATATGACACAAAAATCGTAGTAAAATTTAAAACCAACAATCTAATTTTCAAAGATTATATTTCTCACTTCCGAAAATAGATTCATATTACTGCACACCGTTGCAAATGAGCTAATCTGAGGTAAAAATAGAAATCGATTACACCCTGGGTCTAAAACTGACCGTATGGTGAAAGAAAGTAAACGAAAGTGGTTGCTTCAATTAATTTGCAAAAAGATAATACTTAGCTAAAACAGAGAAATTCAACTTTAACAATTTGAAAAGTCGACTCATATAAATATACACCAAATTTTAATTACTATATTTAGCCTATTCTAAACATAAAACTCTCTAAACTGAACTCACACGAAGTTATTACTTCATCTGCCTGATTATGGAAGCACTTATCTTTAAAATATGTGCCGAAATGCACGAAAACAAACGAAAAGAACAAGAAGAAAAACGGAACAATGCTTTATTCTAAGTTAG